CGGCGCCTGAAAAATAGCTGTTAAATTCTGCTGTATCTCGCGTCGAAAGATTTCTTGAGAACAATTTCCGTGAGAGTTGAACCGCGAATCCTGTGCGCGCACACTCCGGGACACCCTAAGGAAGTTCTAACGAGGCTCGATATTTTATTTATAACCCCTCGAACCTGTCCACGAGGGGAACAAATATCGGCATACCGGAATGATTACGGAGGAGCTTGAAATCTGCATGAGGATCCGCTAATAAACCTCTCCTCGGATGTAATATCCGGAATAAAGGAATAATACGGACGTAGAAACTGAATAATACGATCGAGAGGGGGGTGGTAATCGGGACATCGTAGACGGGTTTCTGTGCAAATAAGAAAGACGCCGAGCGACGGGGACGGCTCTGTCGCTTCGCTTTGCCGGGCGGACATTATTCTATCGGTATGCATTATAGGGGATGCAGCTTAAACTGGGCAAACGCAGCCGCGCCGGTTTAAATCAGTCGCAGACTGACAAGCAGTGCAAGCGAATGAAAATTGGTGAAACGATACGGTAAAGTTATAGAGTTGTACGTCGCAGTTGCAACCCCTACGGTTTTAAACTGCGCGCCGATTTGCAAGCCCTTTGCTTCGAAATATAGTAAATTCTCCCTAATTGACGCTCGCTCAGCTTGGAAACAAAAATGAATAATTTGGGAAGAAGAGGTACTCTTCTACTATTATTCCAGCCTTGCGGCTCGTTTTTACAGTTATTGGTAGCGACACATTGGTACGATACAGCAAGCGACGAGGACCTTCGATCCACGAGCGAATAATAATCTCGGAAGACAGTGAACATAATTATTAAAGTGTCTGGCAACAAGTTCGCAGCATTTCTGATATTTCTGCTTTCCAGTTTTACAAAAATGTTCGATATTGATTTTCGTTGTATGAAATCATTAAAAATACGTTAAATGAATTCTTTGCGTTTCTGTCGTTCCGAAATTCTTCTTTATGCGCAACGGAGTACAGTAAATTCTCTCTAATTGAAGCTCAGATTGTGCACAAAGTTAGACAATTTGGGAAAAAGGGACGCGATTATTCGAACTTTGCGGCACGTTTTTGTAATTGTTAACAGTCAGTAACTATAATTACTATATTATTTTAATTATTATATTTTCTGCAGAATCTGAGTATCAGTTAGGGCGAGACAGTAAACATAATTAATCGTATTAATCTAGAATTAATCGTATCCCTCTTCCCAAATTTACTGTACTCCGTCGCACATAAAGAAAAATTTCGGAACAACAGAAACGCAAAGAATCGATTTAAAGTATTTTTAATGATTTCATACAACGAAAATCAATATCGAACATTTTTGTAAAACTGGAAAGCAGAAATATCAGAAATGCTGCGAACTTGTTGCCAGACACTTTAATAATTATGTTCACTGTCCTCCGAGATTATTATTCGCTTGTACTATCATACAAAACGGTAGAAATCAGGCAAAACGTTGCAAGAGATTTCAGGAGGGGAATCGAATTTTTATGTTTCCGGTTTGAGGTAGTTCGAAGATGTTCCTTAGGACGGTTTTTGCTAGCAATCGATGGAATCGTCCATTAGACCCACGGTTTCTCTATTTTCGTCGCGCCGATCCGTCAATTCGATCGCACGGCGGATGATATTCCTACGGGTGGGCGGGCGTTCGCGGCGAATAAAAGTCTCCGGACTTTTTGCCGGATGATAGATCTACGTTGTACGCTGACTGGCAGCGATTTGAAAGCGTTGAACGAGCTAATAGTCGGCCGTCCGAAGGTATAAGAACTGGTATAAATACGTTGTTCGGAGTAACGCTGGTTATTTTCAACGAGATGTTTTTTCATAGACTGTTCTGTTTATCGCGCACGATTTTTTAATGCAGGACGGCGTGTTCGATCGAATTCTCGGATACGTCACGCGGCTCGAAACAGTAAAGTTTCTCTAATTGAGCCGTTTATTTTGAAAGTGGCATAAGTCACTTTACCGTAATGAAAAGTGGTGGTTAATGTTTATACGAAATTATTTATACTGAGAAAAATATATCAGTATCCTGAGATAACAAATACAAGTGAATCTTCTCGAAAGTTAGCATCCATATTTTTAAACGTGTTAAAACGCAAACCCTTAAATATATCGACTTAAAATCAAAGTGACTTATGCTACTTTCAAAATAAACGGCTCAATTGTTGACAGTTCATAACTATAAAAACTGGAAAAGGCTGGAATAATCGTATCTCCTCGTCCCAAATCGTCCATTTTTCTGCACAATCTGAGCGTCAGTTAGAGAGACGTTACTGTAGATGGTAGATCAGAGACTCGGCGCAGAGAAACGTCGGGTCTTTTTATACCTAAATCTCGGATTAGATTACGACGGGATCCATGACGAGGATCCACGGAGCTGTTTGCGAACATACTAGACAGCGACCACCGGCTGCGTGTCGGCGATCAACGCTCACTGTCAGCTGTCCGTGCGAAAACGAAACGAAAATACCATTGACACAGATTTCACCGGTGGGCAGAAATAGAGAAAGGGCCTGGGACCGGGAACCGAACAGGCGGTCGACCCTCCGAGGGCCGACGACGTCGAGAAAATCGTTTAACTTTCTCCCGCGAGAGCGAGAGAGAGAGAGAGAGAAAGAGAGAGAGGGAGAACATTAATAATTTCAGAGCCGTCTTCGCGAGGAAAGTTTTCGACCGGATAATTCTGTAATTTTTCTCTCCCTCTCGTCGGACGATCATCCGGCAGTGGCTGCATGATTCAGAGGGACGAGTTTTGTCTCGAACACGGGGTTGCTCGACTTCGAGCAGCTCTCGGATACAAGGAACGCTGAATCTTTCAGCGCTTTGTCCCACTCTTACTCCTGACTGGCTAAATTCGGAGCTAAGTGGGACGAAAATAGACGCGAACGGGACAATTAGAGATATACAGGTTCGACTATGGTGGCTTGAATCGATCATGCTCCCGCCGTACACTCGCTGTTCCCTGAATTCTTCTCTCCGCGACGATTGTCGCGTTTCAGATTTCCAAGATACTTGCAGCTCGGGTTGAAAAACGATGATACCGTTGCTTCGTTCCGATACCCAGCCGGGATTTCTGTAATGTCTCCTTAACTGACGCTTAGATTGTGCAGAAAAATGGACAATTTGGGAAGAGGAGATACGGTTGTTCAAATCTCGAAGCTCGTTTCTATAGTAATTGACAATTCCTAACTATAAAAACGAGTAGCGAGTCTCGAATAATCGTATCTTCTCTTCTTAAATTGTCCATTTTTGTGGACAATCTCAGCGTCAATTGGAGAGACATTACTGTATCTCGTGCGAGCGATCGAACGCTTAATTTCACCGCGTTTGTCTCCGTGGCTCGAAAGACTTTCGAACGAAGGAACTAAGAATGTCGGGGACCGCGTTCGATCAACATTGAAACGCGGCGGTTCGTTGGTTAAGGGTTGTTTTAAATAACGAAGAACCGGAGGAAGTAAATGCTTCTGAAATCGAGAGAGAAACGTCCGGGTGAAAAGCGAAACAAAACGCAGTGGAGTCCGGGGGAAAGGATAGGCACTTGTTACCCGGTGGAAAGCTCAAAGAGAATGGTGGAACACGGTCGACGGAGTAGAAAGAATTTCGTTTGGAGCGGGTTCGAGTCGTTGAAGGGAAACAGAAGCGTCCTCTCTTTCTCTCGTCCGAGGACGTTCAGCTGGAGATCGGTTTAATTTACGAAGGAGGCCCGCCCTGGCGAAAAAAGAGGGACGAGAGTTTATGATAAAACGACGACGAGAGAAAAGGGAGAAAGAGTGAGCGAGCGAGAGAGAGAGAGAGAGAGAGAGAGAGAGAAAGAAAGAAGGTGGGAGGGTGGGAGCGGCGGTCGCGGCCGAAAGAAATTGTTGCCGGAGCTTTCGGGGTCGGTGCTTCTGTCGCGGATATTTAGAGGAAGCTAAAGGCGAGGCCCTTCGAGGTAAAAAGGTCGACAACGACCTCTGTTAAAAATATCACTGGAGACCGGTGCTTGTTGCAGCTTCGGGCGGTTTACACGGAGCCAATTACTTTCGTGGAAGCTCCGTAAGCCGTGCTCAAGAATACGTGTTATCCTGGAAACTCGATTCGATCCGTGCGTTCCCCGATAAAGCCCTCGGCCTCCCGAGAAAAAACGAATTAATAGATCTGGGCCGCGGCCGTGCCGCAAATAGAAAAAGTAACGGATACAGTCGGCAAAAAGTGTCGAGACACGGCTTCACACTTTTTCGATTAATGCCGCCGGTTCGCGCAACGATTTCCTCCTACGAGTCTCTTTAAAACGTTGAATCTACCGTGCCAGAATGACCGGTTCCGCGTATTTTACTTTGTAATTAACGACATTATAGAAGCTGTTTCGAAGCATGTAATGAAAGTAGCACGACTTTCCAATTAATTCAGTCTTGTCAACGTGTGTCGGACGTCTTCTTTAGTGCTCCGTAGGCTTAGCGTTAACGCGTGATTGGTAGATCGAGGAGTTTCTGCGCTTACAAAAAAGAAAGATAGGTACAGAACTGTCGACCTGCAATCAACTTCGAACATTTATATTTACAACATTTATATTTACAAGTGCACGACGAGCCTCGGTCGTCGTGCACTTGTTTCGCCTAATTTACGCAAGACGAGTCTAATTCGTCGTTCGAACTTCTAATTGCTATGTATATTATATCATTCTGCCTTTATATATAACACCATTTCGCGCATCAGCAGATTGAATCCGTTCCGAACGCAAGAATTTTTTCAAATAAATCTGTATCCAAGCGGTTACGCGATCCAGTAACTACCGATCAGTCTTTCCCATTTTTAGATCCCCTTACGTTTGCACCGTAAGCAGTAACGCGTTAACAGCGATCTCTCTGGGAAACATCGACGTTAAGCGGCGAATTCTTTAGAGCCTATCAACTCTTAAGCCTCGATCTCGATACGTTGACAACGAATCGTCGAGCAACAGAAAGAAACGAAGAAAAGAGTAATAATAATCGAACTCACCCCAAAGTGGTCATAGTCACGATGGTGTACCAGAAAGCGGCAGGTATCGAGGTGAAGTTCGTCCCGTCGACGTTCTTCTCCGCGTAGAACATGACTGTGGCGAAGATGATGATGGCCATGGCCAGGGAGAAGACGAGAAAGCCGAGCTCGGAGGCGCACGACTTGAGCGTGTAGCCGAGGATCCGTAGACCCTGCGAGTGCCTGGAGAACTTGAAGATCCGGAATACGCGGAAGACGCGCAACGTTACGAACGCCCCGGAGACGTCATCGTTGTCCGTGAGACCGAGGCCGATGTAGTACGGCAGTATGGCGACCACGTCTATAATGGACATGACGGATCTCGCGAATTTGATGCGTCCCGGGGCTGCGAACAACCGGAGCAGGTACTCGGCTGTGAATATCATGACGCACGCGGTGTCCAAACAGAAGAACACGATCTTGTATCGTTCGCCGCAGGAAAGGGTGCCGGCGCGTCCAGGCCGGTTGCCGCACGGAACGGTCTCGACCACGTTCGCCAGCACGCTGACGGCGATGAAGAAGCCGGTCACGTAGTAGAAGACCAGGGCGGCGGTCGAGATGTGGGGATTCTGGAAAGCCCGCCACATTTTCTGTCTGATGTCGAGCAGCTGCTGGAGATTCTGATCGCCGTTCTCGCTGAGCTTGTCGTCCATCAGCCTCTCGGCGTTCTCGCGTTTACGATCGCGATAGTCCTCGTAGCAACAGTCGCCGATCACGTCGGGCAAGATGCCGAAGAACGCCAGCTCCTCGTCGTAGCTGGTCAAGCATTCGTGCTTCGGATAGTGAAGCTTGCCGGTCCGGTAATAGTTCAGAATGTGGCGAAAGATGTCCGGATCACGGTCGAAGAAATATTCCTTGCTGTCCTCGTCGTAAAAGAATTCGCGCTCGTTCGAGCCGAGAAGCGTGTCCGGATACTTCTCGAGAGTGTTCCGCCACGTTTCGAAACGACGTCCGCTCACGTTGATCAACAATTTCTCGTCGTCCGCTTTGCGACGATCCTTAGGGATCGGCGGGGGTGGCAGCGGGTGTGTAGCAATCGGCACCCAACCGATCGCGGCCGCTCGGGCGAACGGTAACCACGCTGCCACCGAGGCCATGCCCCTCACCTGGTCCACGATCTTCGGTCGGCGCACTTGATCACACACCCCCTGTACTCGTCCTGTCTCCTACTCGTACCCCCTTACCTCCGTAAAAACCCCCCTAGCACCTCGAACTTTCGCACCTTGTCAAGTATCCCTGGATCCTCCGATCATCCCCATCAACGATCGATCCGGCGGGAACACCTAGAACCTCTTCTCACCTGGGATTCCCTCTTATAGTCTTGTCGCGCGAGTCTCTCTAGCGAAACGAGCCGGTCTCGGACCCGCATCCGATCTATCCATTAGCTGATCGTGGCACAGCGATCCCAACGCGTCGACGACCGCGTCCGCCGCGCCGACAACGGGACCGCGACCCTACGACCACCGTGCACCAAGTCCTCCGTCATCGTTCAACACCATTCCTTCGCTTCGCGATCACCTCGATCCGATCCGGTCCGATCCGTTCCGCGATTAAACCGAACAGCGGCGGCTTGAACCGGCGAAGGGACGCGACGAACACCGCGACAGCGAATCGCCTCCTGGCAGCGTGCCCTCCAGCATCATCGATACGGCACTCAGGGTGCTCGCTCGAGAGAACTGTCCCCCAACGATCCCCGTCGTTCCGTTATCTCCGATCTCCACCTGTTCCCTCTCTCGTCCGCTCCTCTCGCCCTCCCTCTCTCTCTCCCTGCCTCTTTCCCTCTTCCTCTTCCTCCACGATATTAAGCACCGCGATCCTGTTCGTCCGTGTCCTCGAGAACCATCGAGAGACCGGTGCTACATCCTAGAGCACCCGGAGCGGAAAACCTCCACGATCCCGTCACTGTTCGATCGGATCGCGCGCATCCCGGAGCATCGGTGCCGCTTCAGTAGGCCCGGGAGATGTCCGATCGGCCGTCGATTGGTCCGCCCGTCATCCTGGGACGCTGTCTGCTCGGTAGATTTCCTTTCGCCGGGTCGGCTCCGCTTCGCTGGGGTAGTAGCTCCCGGTGTCGCCGTTGCGAGGAGACTGTTGCGGATGATCGAGCTCGCGATCGCTCGCAACCGAGTCTCAGCGTGCGGACGCTACCGTCGCTGCTCGGTGGCCGCGTCCCGCGAGAACCCCGGTCGCAGGGTGGCCGAGCATCGTCCTCGCGGCCGGTGAATCAGCGTGTCCCGCGTAGCGTTCTCGGCACGCGCGAGCTCTTTCTGCCCGCGAGCGAGCGAGGCGGATCGCACGCACCTCCTCAACGCAGACACCTTGGGGGCCACGCGCGCTCACCTCCGCGTCCGTGGCACGTCAGAACGACGACGAGGCGCGCGAGTGAAAAGCCCGACCGGTCGGTCGCGCAGATGTTTTCCTCTCGGCACGGGCCGAAGCGATAGACGGCACGTCGCATGCGTCACGGCGGCGGCAGCTTCCTCGTGACGCCGCTCGCGGAACAATCTCTCTCTCTCTCCCTCTCTCTTTCTATCTCTCCCTCTCTCCTCCTTTCTCTGTCTCTCGCGCTCTCTCCCTCTCACTCTTGCACACACACTCTCGCTCTCTCTATCTTTCTCTCTCGCTTTTTTCCACTCCGCCTCGTACTCGCTCGCTGTTCGAAGACCAGCGAAACGGGTCGTGTCTGCCCGGTACACGCCAGCAATCCGTAACTACTCGGCCGACGAGCCAGACGATCCTCTTCGGTGCCGCGACACTTCGATGCGTCGTCGTCGTCCGCCGCCTCCCTTTTCTCGCGAGCACATCTCTCTCTCTCGATTCCCCTCTCTCTATATTTCTCTCGCTCTCTATCTTTCTCGCTCTCACCCTCTCTTGCTCTCTCCGGCTCTCCTCCTGGAACACTCGCGAGGAAGTAGATCCTCTTCCCACGAAGTAGAACCACGCACAAAGGTGCACACACGGTCGATCGAAGTCCAGCGAACGGAGGGTGGATCCGGTCGGATGAAAAAGCCGGCTTTCTACCCGCTCGCGGGGGAGGGGCGGGGAAACGGTCTGTCACTCGCGCCCGGTCTCCTAGAGCCCGGGCTTCTCTCTAGTTCTCTCCTACACTAAAGATATCACGGTCTCTCCTCTACGGCGCAGCCGGTGCGTCTATCTCACGATCGCTGTCATCCGTCTGATCGGCCGCTTCGACCTGGACCGCCGCGCCGGCTCGGTGGTCTCGAGCATGTCCTCTTCAACGGAGCAACGTGTTCGGCGTCGAGCAGCGTCCCGGTGGTTGTCGGCGTCGCGAGGCGAGCCCCTCGTGGATCATCGTCCGCGCGAACGCGGAACCGGAGGCCCCGGGGTACGATGGGACGCGAGAGGAAGACTCTCCCGAAAGGGAGAGAGAGAGAGAGAGAGAGAGAGAGAGAGAGAGGGAGAACGGCAGCGGCGGCAGGGTGATATCGTTCTAGGAACGTGAACGTACCGTGTGCGTCCTACCTCTCTGTCTCTGTCCCCGTCTCCGCGTCCGTCTGTGTACGTGCCTGTGTACGTGACTGTTTCCGAGTGTGTGTGTGTGTTTGTGTGTACGTGGGCGTGTGTACGTGGGCGTGTGTACGCGGGCGTGTGTCGCTGTGCGGCTGTCAGTGTTTCGTGTGTACGCGGGTGGGTGCCGGAGAGCGTGTGTCTCTCCTGTCGTGTCTGTGACTGTGTGTGTGTATGTGTGTGTGTGACTGTGTGTGTATGTGTGCGCGCGCGCGGTGTGCGTCTGTCGGCTCGCGAGAAAGCAAGCAAGCTAGGCGCGGGCGGAACACGTTTCGAGCTGGGTCTGGTAACCGCTCGGTTGGCGACTCGCGACTGAGCTGGTGCGCGGTATCGGTCGCAAGCTCTAGCTAGCTAGCTCCGCTCCGCTCCACTCGCTGGCTAGCTGGCTGGCTGGCTGGCTGGCTGGCTCGAGTCGGCTCGGCTCGACACGGCAAAGCGCGGTCGCAAGCTGGCCGGTACACACACCTCTCTCTTCTCTCTCTCTCTCCCTCTCTCTCTCCTCTCTTCTTTCTCTCTCTCTCTCTTTTCTCTCTTCTCTCTCCTCTCCTCTCTCCTCTCTCGCCGAAAGGGAAGCGTGCTGCTCTCGAGCCTCGAGCCACCGCCGCCGGAGCAGCCGCGACGCAGCGCCGAGCGAACGGTCACCTAGCCAAGGTCCAAATTGATTTTTACGTCGCGGCAGCGGTGGCGACGCACGACGGCGTCCCGACGCGGCGGCGAATCGCTTCCCCGTTGCCCGGGCAACCCTCATCTATGACGTCATACGGTTCCCTCCTCGCCAAAGACACCCCAGACTTCAACTCCTCCGAGAGAGAACCGCTTCTCCTGCCTTCCCAGCCCAGCCACCCCTCAGCCCAAACTGTCTTTTACACCCGGCCCCTCTGCCCAACATTCCTTCCCCTAATCTTTCCTGACCGAACCATCCCCGCGTTCGTTTGCTTTGCTGGGTTTGCTCCTCGACGATCCTCGACCTTCTAGTCAGCCCAGCGAAACAGTCTTCTCGCCGAGTCTCTTTCCTTCGAATCTCCTGGTCTTTCTTTCTACTCTTTGCTAGCTTCGCGGTCTTCGCGTTCCTCAGCTTTGGTAGTTCCGCTTTGCCGATCTCCCGTTGGGAAATCTATCACCTAGCTCCGCCGACGAAACTGGATTTTAGCTTCTCCAGCTGGTCCGTAGAACCTCCGGTATCTCCTTGCTCTAATTCTCGACGATCTTCTTAAGCCTCGTCAGAATATCCTCTTTAGCTTCCTCGCTTCGGACGAGGCTTCTTCTTCGCTACCCCGCCGCTGCGACGCTTCGACACCCTCGCGAAGTCAGCAGAACAGAGTTCCGCCCTCCCGGCTTCTCGTCTTCAGCTTTTATCAGTTTCTTTACGCCTCTCTTCTTCTTTGCAAGTTTGTTTACCATGCACCCTCGCTCTAGAACCCCAGCCTCCTCCACCCCTCTCTTTCCCCAGAAGTGTCTCGCATTTTCCGTCGAGTCCCTCCATTCGGCTGCGCCTGCCAACCTTCGCGAGCCGTCCTCTTTATCTTCTGTTCCTTCAACGGTTCTCCTTCGCCAACCCTTCGCTTGGACGCTTTCAACCCCCATCGAAACCAGACCGACCCTTCCTGCCGCATCCTCTTTCTAAAGTGTTCTCAGCTCCATCTTATCCTCTTCCTCTCTGCAAGTTTGTTTACCGTACTTCAGTCCCTTTCGAAAAAGGACACCCCATCCTCTTTCTTTTTTCCAGTAGCATCTCCTATCTTTTACTTTCTGCGAAGTCCCTTCCGCTCGTCGATCTCTCTAGCCTTTACTAGTTCCTCTTCTTTTCTTCGGTGAATAGTTCAACCCCTTCGCGGAAGCCTCCTTGCTCCATCTTCGAGACTGTATCCAGGCTTTCTATTTAATACTTTGTTCTATTCTGCTTTCTCCTTTGGAGAACCTCTCCTTGTCTCGCCCCTCTTTCTCCCTTTTTCCGTCGCGTCTTCGCGCGACTTTCTTCTCCGCGCTCTTTTCTCGTCGCTCCGGCTCCTTCGAAAGCGTCGCCTCGTCCTCCGAATCTTTGTTCCCGACTCTCCCGAATCTCTCGCTGTCCTCCTCCCACTTGTTGTTCTAACCAGTTTATTCGCACATTTCATCCTTCGAGCACTCGACTCTTGAACAACAGCCAACTCGGCTTCCGACGAGCGGCTTTTGCTAGCAAGAAAAGGTTCAATTGGTCGCGACGAGATCAAGGTGTCCGAAGGAAGATCGAGAATTCCGCGGCGATATCCCCCGTGAACGTACGCGTAAAACGATCGACAAAGAAACACCGGTGGCAATTGTGCAGCTGTCAGGAGCCTGCCGTTCCCGCGGCTTAATCTACCGAGCAAATTCTGAAGCCCGAAGATAGCTGAATACTTTCGGGACACCCGCTTGATAGATGCACCTTTCAACCGTGCTAGCTTCTGCAGAAGCCCATAAATTCGCATAAACCAAGCGCCGGGTCTATTCATCGATAGCCCGGTTCTTCCCGGGCTGAATTATGGTATCAAAACGCCACCGGGGAACCGTTTAAAGAGAGGATTTTTCGTTCCCCGGGACTGCCCTGGCAGATGGAAACGGCTCGCTGAAACGCGCCCGGTTTGATCTCCTTTCCTCGAGTGCCGATTCAAGCTTCATTTGGAAAAGTATCATTTCGTTTAACAATACGGTACTCCGGTTGATTGCGTTGCTCCCGTTTAGACGCGGCCCCCGTTCAGAGAACACCTAATTCCGTCCCGTCTCACGCAGCGGCTCTCGGTCCCGAATCATGCTCGAACAAATTACGCGTTTCCTCCGGTCTCTTAGTTTCTGCCAACTACGGTATCCTTTGCCATCGCTATGGCCACCGTTCCCTCTATTTATCATGCGTCACGAGACCTTTCCCTCCCATCCGAGCCCTCGGTCCGGCTTAGGTTTCCTCCGGTCCCTTGGTTTGTATCAATTACAGCTTCCCTTTTGCGGTCACTGTGGACCTCTTTCATTATCACTCTTCCACGACTAGACCTTTCCACCTTCGCCCACTTGGTTACTTTCTTCTTATTTCCCTGTTATCGCCGGGTTCGAACCCGATCGTCCACCGTCCACCTTTCCCCAACGATATTCTCGAGCCTCGATCTTCGGCATCGATCCAATTTCACGGCTTCCTCGAGTACTCTGTCCACCCATCGAAGCGCAGTTCGTCCTCCAGAGTTTTTCGCGGGTTTTTCGCGAGTTCTTCTTCCGAAATTACGGTAATGTCTCTCTAATTAAGGCTCAGATTGTCCACAAAAATGGACAATTTGGGAAGAGGCGGTACGATTATTCAAGTCTCGTAGTTTATTTTTGTAGTTATAAATTGTCCACAATTATAAAAACGAGCTGCGAGGCTCGAATAATCTCCTCTTCCTAAATTATCCATTTTAGTAGACAATCTGAGCGTCAAAAATGGACAATTTGGGAACAGGAGATACGATTATTCGAGCCTCGAGGTTTATTTTTATAGTTATAAATTGTCCACAATTATAAAACCGAGCCGCGAGGCTCGAGTAATAGCATCTTCTTTTCCTAAATTATCCATTTTAGTGGACAATCTGAGTGTCAGTAAGGGAGACATTACTATACTTCGAAGTTTCAAATGACACGAGCTGTGGATCTTTATTTGCATTATGAATGGATTGTTTCTATGAAAGAGTGTTTATAATTTTAACAATGTAAGACAAGAAATGTAATTTCGTTAATAATAATAATAATAATTTCTCAAGCAATAGGTTATTCGTTAATCTAATGTTGTATTTAGCTTTTTGGTACATATGATAAATTCTCTCGAATTGTCCCTCAGCGTGTAAAAAAAATGGACAATTTGGAAAGAGGAAAAACAATTACAGTAATGTCTCCCTAATTGACGCTCAGATTGTCCACAAAAATGGACAATTTGGGCAGAGGAGCCTCGCGAATTCGAGCCTTGCGACTCGTTTTCATTGTTACCGATTGTCAACGATTATAAAAACATGGTGCAAAGCCGGAATAATCGTATCTCCTCTTCCGAAATTATTCATTCTAGTGGACAATCTGAACGTCAGTAACGGAGACATTACTGTACTTCGCGATACGTTCGGCCTGCAAATAAATTTCGCGGGAATTCGAAGTTGCGTCCGAGACCCGATGAAACGAACTTCGGCAATTTTTAGGCGTGTACGCGATGAACGAACGAATCGACGATCGAATAAACCAGGTACAGAGATCAGGTTTTTGTAGCCTGGCGTTTGGATCTGTACGATTTTTGAGTCGAGAGAGAGAGAGAGAGAGAGAGAGAGAATAATTAAAGCGACTAAGAATTCGGTCGCGCTGTTTGCGAACGATTAAAATTTCTACGAGAAGAAATACATTTCTATGCAGCCCCCGTTCCTGACAATCGATGCACGCAATCTGCATTCCGCATACTGATTCGCGGCCTGGCGATACATTAACTACAACGTCATGTTTCGTGGGGCAAAGTTAACTGACGAATGCGCCGCGCGACGACGCTATCGCTTAAACCTATTGCACTAAAATCCGAGAATCTCGGGTTTCGACGAGAATCAGAGTCTATTCGGGCGGACTCTATACGCTCGAATCGAATCGCACCGGCTCTAGATATAACTGAACGTCAGTCGCACTGTGAGAAACGCATACTGCATCGGTTCATTTCGAATGCAAAGAAGCGCAGCACGCGAAAATGCGAGCGAGAGAGAAATACAGAGAAAAAAAAAGAGAGAGAGAGAGAGAGAGAGTGAGAGCAAGTTCTGCATGGATCTCCCAGGCCACTTTGCACCGAGCAAGACAACGAGTGGGCCGGTGTGCCTAGCCGCCAGGTAAATTTGCGCCGCTAATGAACGTGCGAAAGAGTGCAACCTCAAAATGCAAGTGCATACCCTCGAGCGCGCGGGTGTAACGTCCGCTTAAGTGCAGCTAAGTTCGCGTTTTCTGTGCCTCCTTGTCATCCGGCGAGGCCCTTTAAGCCTCGCTTAACCGTCACACATTGTTTCGGGGCCGTTGAATGCATCGATCCGTCCGATCGCATTGTCGTCTATCAT